TTAAGGGAAGGGGTGGATTAGTTTTTGTTTTTATTATTCTTCTCTGGAGCAAAAGTAATGCGGTTTGCGAAATTATGCCCAACAATGGATATTTTTTTTACCTAATTTCGAACAGAAAATCTAGTTTTTCATATAAAATGGAATTATTAATTAAGCATCGTTTTAAATAGCTATTTATTGTAATAGTTTTTACCACCCGCGCGTTAGTAAGTGAGTAAAAAATGCCCCCCCCCCCCAACTTTTTTACGAAAATACACGCTTGGAAGCACCAGGAATCCAAATCAAATAAAATTTCGATGCTGTAGGTCTGTCTGTCGGTCCGTCTGTACCGTGTGTCCTATTTTAACTGTTGACTATTTTACTACAAATGTAAGATGAAAAAAATTCGTTAAGCCGCTTGTAAGCAAGAGGCGAAGAGTGCACTTTTTCAAATTTAATAGCTCTTATGGACATTTCATGCCTTAACGAGAACACAAACATGAAATAATTTTTAATTTCTGATCGAGTGACACCAATACCAAGTGGTGTAGTTCCCAAGCTTTTGTAACTCAGACAGACAGACAGACAGACATATAAGGAGTGTAAAAGTGCACTTTTTATTTTTTGAAAGTGAAAGTGCACTAAAAAGGTAAAAATTGTTTATTTTAGACATTTTTACGTAGTTTTACTTAGAATTCAGAGCAAATTTTTATACTTTTCATACTTAAATATACGATTCATTTAATTACAGTTACAGGTACTGAAGTGAGACATGTTTATTACACCACTCACCTTAACCCCTTTAAGGGGGTAATTTTTGCACTTTTTTAAACATTTCGCTTATAACTATATAATCCTTTATAATCCTACTAGAAAATTTCTCTTCTTTTCTAAAGAGCATTAAATTATGCGTCGAATAGCGTTTGAAACATTGAAATAAGTTTAGTCGTTCTAACGCCTGTAGGTCGAAAATGACTGCACCGAAAAATATCATAGAATCAAACTTGTAGATACTGTAATTGTGAATCAGATGCTTTTTGACATTTGCAATTCGCTCACTCCAGTGCTCAGATATGAATTTTAAACCGAAAGAGTCCTTAGCGCCAAATTTCCGCTAAGGCAGTCCAACGCAGGCAACTTTGTCTGAACTCAAAACTTCTCACTTTCTTGTATTTGTTCAAGCAAAACTGAACGTAATCTACTGAATTTAAACTCAAATAATTTTAACATGTATTCATAACTTTTCACTAAGTTTCTGACTTCTTCTGTTCTAGAACTGTTCACTGGACATGTAATTTGTGCAAGAGGGCGCGGATAGAGGGACATTGACGGAAAAGTCACTTCGAACGTTCATTGAGGCCAGTAGGAGGAGAAATGATGGGCATCACACGTGGTTACAGACTCAGAAATCTGTCATCCTTCACGAGAAGTGTCGCAAAAGTGTCTACACGAAGGAGTCTAACATTGTAAAGGCTGAAAAAGAAGCAGGAAACAGAAGCCGTGTGACAAGAGGCCGTGAGGAAGTACCGAAATTCAACTTCAAGGAACTCTGCTTCTACTGTGGAAAGGATGCCTCTGAAAACTTCAAGGCCAAACTGAAAAAGCTCCCCCTTCACAGACGTGAAATAGTGCGTGAAATTCAGAGTTATTTCAGGCACTGACGCATAATTTAATGCTCTTTAGAGAGAAATTTTTTATAGGATAAGTATTTTTCGAGTTATACCTAAGCGAAATGTTCAAAAAAGTGCTAAACATTTTGCGCGTTTTAGGCTCTCAAATCTGACGCTCAACCTAGAAACCTTCGCAAACTCATATACCCGTTATTCAGGACCCCTTAAAGGGGTTAAAACGATTTCCAGTTCTCGAGTAATTTTTAGGGGCTAGAAGAAAGTACCTACATTAGTAGATTGATTTCAAAGATGTCTGATGCTTTCATGAAGTTTGCCGTGATTTTTTAGATCCTGGTTACAGCCCTTTGAATTTTCTTTCGAAATTGGTTTTTAGTCCATAACTTTTGATTGAGAAGTCTAATCGAAAAAGTACGAATCGTTTTGGATTCTACGCACCAAAATTAATAAGAAAAAGTGTTTTCCCGAGAAATTTTGGTGTAGTCGATTTTTGGTAAAAAAGGAAGGTTATACACTGCCTTTTTTTGAGCCCCGAAAAAAAAATTGTCTCAGATCGACCCGAAAACAATTTTTCTTATAGAATGTGGCCTGTAGAATCCATAATTTCAAACAGTTCCAAGATTGGGCTACTAGTTCAAAAGTTACAGCCCTTTGAATTTTTTTTCGGAAATTGGTTTCTAGTCTATAACTTTTGATTGAGAAGTCTGAGAAAAAGTACGAATTATTTTGGATTCTACGCACCAAAATTAATAAGAAAAAGTGATTTCCCGAGAAATTTTGGTGTAGTCGATTTTTGGTAAAAAAGGAAGGTTATACACTGCCTTTTTTTGAGCCCCGAAAAAAAAATTGTCTCAGATCGACCCGAAAA